TTCAAGTGGTTCTCCTGCCTCAGCCCCTCCAGTAGTAGAGATTACAGGCGGGTGCCACCACGCCCGGTTAATTTTTGTATTTTTAGTAGAGATGTGGTTTCAGCATGATGGCCAGATGGCTGGGATTTCCCCCGGCTTGCCCCAGATTCCCAGGAGAGGCCAGCTGAGGCAAGAGAATTGCTTGAGCCTGGGAGCCGGAGACTGCAGTGACCCCAGATCTGCAACCTTCTCCTTGGGTTCAAGTAGTTCTCCTGCCTCAGCCCTTCCAGTAGTTGAGATTACAGGCGGGTGCCACCACGCCTGGTTAATTTTTGTATCAGTAGTAAAGACAGGGTTTCTCTGTATTGATCAGGCTGGTCTCAAACTTTTGACCTCAGGTGATTTGCTGCCTCAGACTCCCAAAGTTCTGGGATTACTTTTTTTTTTTTCTTCCTATTCTACTCTGTTTTATTTTTTTATTTTTTATTTTTAATTTTTGATTGCATTTTAGGTTTTGGGGTACATGTGCAGAACATGCAAGACAGTTGCAAAAGTACACACATGGCAGTGTGTTTTGCTTCCTTTCTCCCCTTCACCCACATTTGGCATTGCTCCCCAGGCTATCCCTTCCCAGCTCCCCCCCCCCACCCCACTGGCCCTCCCCTGTTCCCCCCAATAGACCCCAGTGTTTAGTACTCCTCTCCTTGTGTCCATGTGTTCTCATTTTTCATCACCCGCCTATGAGTGAGAATATGCGGTATTTCATTTTCTGTTCTTGTGTCAGTTTGCCGAGAATGATGTTCTCCAGATTCATCCATGTCCCTACAAACAACACAAACTCATCATTTCTGATTGCTGCATAATATTCCATGGTGTATATGTGCCACATTTTCCCAGTCCAGTCTGTCATCAATGGGCATTTGGGTTGGTTCCAGGTCTTTGCTATTGTAAACAGTGCTGCAATGAACATTTGTGTGCATGTGTCCTTATAGTAGAACAATTTAGTCCTTTGGATATATACCCAGTAATGGGATTGCTGGGTCAAATGGAATTTCTGTTTCTAAGGCCTTGAGGAATCGCCATACTGTCTTCCACAATGGTTGAACTAATTTACACTCCCACCAACAGTGTAAAAGTGTTCCTATTTCTCCACATCCTCTCCAGCATCTGTTGTCTCCAGATTTTTTAATGATCGCCATTCTAACTGGCATGAGATGGTATCTCAATGTGGTTTTGATTTGCATCTCTCTGATGACCAGTGATGATGAGCATTTTTTCATATGATTGTTGGCCTCATATATGTCTTCTTTTGTAAAGTGTCTGTTCATATCCTTTGCCCACTTTTGAATGGGCTTGTTTGTTTTTTTCCTGTAAATCTGTTTGAGTTCTTTGTAAATTCTGGATATCAGCCCTTTGTCAGATGGGTAAACTGCAAAAATTTTTTCCCATTCTGTTGGTTGCCGATTCTCTAGTGACTGTTTCTTTTGCCGTGCAGAAGGTGTGGAGTTTCATTAGGTCCCCTTTGTCTATTTTGGCTTTTGTTTCCAATGCTTTTGGTGTTTTGTTCATGAAGTCCTTGCCTACTCCTATGTAGTTCTGGGATTACTGGTGTGAGCCACCGAGCCTGGCCTCTCCTATTTTTTAAAAAATTTTCTAGGAACGTTCAGTAAGTGTGAGTTTATCTGTGTGGTTTTTAATTAAACCACACACAGTTAGTTAACTTTGTTGGATAGTTAATTTTGAGGACCTTCTATCTGTGGTTCGGTTTTATGTCGCAGAATTGCCTGTTCAGGTCCTTTGTGAAATATTAGATTGTTTTGTTACTTTGTAGTGTTTTTTGTGTACAACTTAGATGACAACACATGAATTACATGATTACCTGAAAGTTTTGCCTAATATACAGGGTGCTTTTTTTATTTGGAAAGTAGTTTCTTTGCCATGCAGAAACTTTTCTGGTTGATGTAGTCCATGTTTATTTTCGCCTTTTATGCATGTAATTTTGGTCATCCATATAAGGAAATAGGTATCAGTTATAAAGCATTTTATTGTCAATGAGGTTTTTCTTCCACGGTGTTTCTTTTTCTCTTTTCAAAGGTGAGCAGAGATTCAAGTGACCCAGAATATATGCTCAACCTGTGTTTTAGTTAAAAACATTTTGTGGTTTATGGTCTTTTGTTCTGGTGTTCAGGGGATTGTGTGTGTGTTTGTTTTTTTTGGGGGATTTGGGGGTGCAGGGGTTGATTTTCATATATCATGTAAAATCAGGGTCCTGTTTCTCTCTTCTGCATCCAGATAACATTTTTCTCAAAGGCATTCGTTGAGCCTTCCACATTGTGGTGGTCTTTATCAAAGTGAGTTGACTATGTCCATGTTTGCATTGATCTTGTTTTGTTCTCCCTGTTTTTGTCCACAGTTCTAGGTATTGTTTTTATCCAAGTACTATCTATCTGCAGCATAACTGCAGCTTGGCAGTATGATTTAATATCGAAGATTGTGGGTCCTCACTTTGATTGTATTTCTCAGGATTCTGTTAGATATGAAGTGTTTTTATGGTTCCCTGTGATTTTTAGCAATATGTATTTATTTCTGTTAACTTTTTTTCGCAACATAAAGGTGCATAATTAGGGGTACATTTTCACACATATAGATTGAGTAATGATCAAATCAGGGTACTTAGGATCTCTATTCCCTCATAAGGTATTATTTTTGTGTGGAGAGAACACTCAAAATTCTCCTTTCTTCTTTGGAAAAATATAGTATTGTTAACTCCAGTCATCAGGCTGAGGAGGAGAACACTCAGATTGATTCCTTTAAGGTTAAGATAACTATGCTTCCATAACCAATTCCTACTCCCCCTCTATCTCCCAGACCCTGGTAACCAATATTGTGCTTTCTACCTCTTTAAGATAGACATCTTAAGATTCAGTGTTTGTCTTTCTTGGCCCAGCTCATATTTAACATGTTTTCTAGGTTCATCTCGGTTGCTCCGCATGACACTGTTTCATCATTTTGGTGGCTGAAGAATATTCCCTAGTGTATGCATACGAGAGTTTCTTGATCCCTCTGTGGATGGACAGGTAAGTAGAATGTATACCCAGTAGGGGGAATGCTAGATGGTATGGCATTTTTCTTTTCTATTCTTTGCAGGACCCCCAACTGTGATTTATAGTGTTAATACTTAATTTACGTTTCCACAAAGTTCCCCTTTGTGGAAATTCATACTAGAAGTTGTCTGTTTAAATATTTTAATCTGTTTATAATATTCATTGTAGTTGGGAGTGAGATAAGATCTGAGTGTGGTTTTGATCTTCATTTTTCTCATGCGTGGTAATGGTAACCACATTTTTGCAAATGTTGCATCAGTTTCTTGTCTGCACAAATATCTCTTCAGGTTATTTGGTTTGGTTATTTTTCTGCATTTTTTTTTGCAAGCTGGTAGTGTTACTGGCTTGTACCTTTAAAAAAAAATAACTTCTTATTCAACTGAATGTTTGCCCAATCTTTTCTTACAATTTTTAGCATGCTTTTTCAATTTGTTCATTGTTTGTTAGGCACAAACTCTTCAGTTTGACATAGCCCCGAATGTGTATGGTTTCTTGGTTAGCTGTGCTGTTGGTTACTAATGAAGAAAAAACAAAATCACTACCAAAGCAGTCCATTATCCAGGAGCCACTAAGCGGGGCTATTTATTCATTGATTTATTGATCTATCTATTAATCGATTTATTTAGAGGCAAACTTGCATTTATTTATTTACTGATGTACTTACGGAGAAGCAGGTCGCATTTAATTATGTATTTTGAGGCAGACTTGGATTTATGTGTTTATCTACCTATCTATTTAAAGACAGGCTTACATTTACTTATTTATCCATTTAGACACAGGCTGACATTTATTTATGTACTTATGTATTTGTGTGCAGGCTTGCATTTATTCATTTTGTTAACTATGTAATGATTTAGAGGCTGACTTGTGTTTCTTGATTGATTGATTGGATCATTGATTCATTGATTTTAGATGAATTCTAGCTGTCTCACCAGGCAGGATTGCAACCTCCCCCTCTTTGGTTCAAGTGATTCTTCTGTCTCAGCCTCCCTTGTAGCTGGGACCCCAGGAGTGTGCCACCATGCCTGGCTAATGTTTTTGTATTTTTAGTAGAGACTGGGTTTCTCCATGTTGGCCAGGGTGGTCTCGATCTCTTGAGCTCGTGTTCCACCTGTCTTGGCCCTCCAAAGTGCTAGGATTACTGGACTGAGCCATGTCGCCCAGCCTTTATTTATTTATTTACATAATTACTGATATATTTACTTAGAGGCAGGAAGCCTGGATTGCATTTATATATTTATATTTTTACTTATTTATTTAATTATTTTCATCTTAGTATTTTTAAAAATAGAGACAGGGATTCTTTCACCATCTTGGCCAGTCTGGTCTCGATGTCCTGATCTCAGGTGATATGGCCAGCTCAGGCTCCCAATGGGTGGGGGATTAAAAACATTAGCCACCAAAGTGGGGCTGCTTATTTATTGATTTATTTAGAGACAGACTTGCATTTATTTATTTACTTATTTATTTGCTGATGTACTTTTGGAGAAGCAGGTCGAATTCACTTTATTTATTTGGAGGCAGACTTCTATTTATGTATTTATCTAGCTATCTAATTATTTAGAGGCAGGCTCACATTTACTCATTTGTTTTATTGAGACCCAGGCTCATGACATTTTTTTAATACTTATGTATATGTGTGCAGGCTTGCATTTATCAGTTTTCTTAACTGTCTGTATAATGATTTAGAGGCAGTCTTGCATTTATTTATTTATTTATTTGCTTATTTATTTTAGAGGGAGTCTTGCTCTGTCACCAGGCTGGAGTGCACTGGCCCATTTTTGGCTTCCTGCAACCTCCGCTTCCTGGATTCAAGCAATTCTTCCTCCTATGCCTCTGGAGGATCTGGGACCACAGGTGAGTGCCATTGAGCCTCACTAATATTTTTGTATTTTTAGAAGAGATGGCGTTTCACCATGTCGGCCAGGATGGTCTTTGTCTCTTGACCTCGTGATCTGCTGGTTTTGGCCTCCCAAGGCACTGGGATTGCAGGCTTTAGCCATGGCCCCCAGCCTGCCTTTGTTTATTTATTTACTTAACTACTTATTTATTTACTTAGTAGTAAGCAGACCATCCTGCATTCATTTATTTTTTTAAGTCTATATTTATTTGTTTATTTATTTTCATCTTATTATTTTTTTAAATAGAGACAGGGTTTTTTTCCACCATCTTGGCCAGGCTGGTCTCGATGTCATGATCTTGAGTGATATACTGGGCTCAGGCTCCAAATGGGTGGGGAATTAAAAGCATGAGCTACTAAGTGAGGTTATTTATTTATTGATTTATTTATGTATCTATTAATCAATGTATTTAGAGGCAAACCTGCATTCATTCATTGATTTACTGACATACTTACGGAAAAACAGGTTGCATTTAATTATATATATTGAGGCAACCTTGGATTTATGTATATCTATCTACCAATCTAATTATTTAGAGGCAGGCTTACATTTACTTATTTATTCATTTAGACACAGGCTGACAATTATCTACTTATGTATTTGTGTGGAGGCTTGCATTTATACATTTTCTTAACTATCTAATGATTTAGAGGCTGGCTTGCATTTCTTGATTGACTGATTGATTGATTGATTCATTGATTTTAGATGGATTCTTGTTATCTCACCAGGCTGGAGTGCAGTGGCGCAGTCTTGGCCCACTGTAACCTCCCCCTCTTTAGTTCAAGTGATTCTTCCACCTCAGCCTCCCTTGTAGCTGGGACCCCAGGAGCATGCCACCATGCCTGGCTAATATTTTTGTATTTTTAGTAGAGACCAGGTTTCTCCATGTTGGCCAGGATGGTCGATCTGTTGAGCTCATGTTCCACCTGTCTTTGCCTCCCAAAGTGCTGGGATTACAGGACTGAGCCATCTCCTCCAGCCATTATTTATTTACATAATTACTGATTTATTTACTTACAGGCAGGAAGCCCGGCTTGCATTTATTTATTTATATTTTTACTTATTTATTTAATTATTTTCATCTTAGTATGTTTTTAAATAGAGACAGGGATTCTTTCACCATCTTGGCCAGGCTGGTCTTGATGTCCTGATCTCAGGTGATATAGCTGGCTCAGGCTTGCAGTGGGTAGGGGCTTAAAAGCATGAGCCACCAAGTGGAGCTGCTTATTTGTTGATTTATTTATCTGTCTATTAGTTGATTTATTTAGAGGTGGACTTGCATTTATTTATTTGCTGACATTTATGGAGAAGGAGGTCGAATTTACTTATTTATTTATTTATATATTTGGAGACGGGCTTGGATTTATGTATTTATCTATCTAGGTATCTAATTATTTATTGGCAGACTCACATTTACTCGTTTATTTTATTTAGACCCAGGCTCATAACATTATTTTTATACTTATGTATTTGTGTGCAGGCTTGCTTTTATTCATTTTCTTAACTGTGTTTCTCCTGCCTCAGCCTCCTAAGTAGCTGGGATTACAGGCTCCTGCCATGATCCCTAGCTAATTTTTTGTATTTTTAGTACAGATGGGGTTTCACCATGTTGTCCAGGCTGGTCTGAAAGTCGTGACCTGAGGTGATCCACCCGTCTCGGCCTCCCAAAGTGCTAGGATTACAGGCATGAGCCAGGCAGCTTTCTACATTTTAAAATTATACTATTTACCCGTAGCACCAAGATTTTGGCTCAATATAGTCTCAAAATACCATTGCCCAGTGAAAGAAAACAAGCCTTCCTGGGAAAGTGCTGATTCCAGGTCTAGGCCAGAAATGTGTAGGGAGCCTGGAACATATTGTCACTCTGGATAGCAAAGAATCCATCAAAGATTATTAGGATGATTTCAACATGTCTGAAGGGCCAATCTGAAGGGACTCCTTCTAACCAAAGATAGGACATTTTGTACATTAATAAGGATAATAGTTGCAGTGAATTGAGATATATCAGATATGTTTGAATATCTGCATTCATAATGATCCTTTTGAAAAAATAAAAGTGGGCTGGCACAGTTCCTCATGCCTGTAATTTCAACACTCTGGGAGGCTGAGTTAGGAGGATCACTTCGTCCAGGAGTTCAAGACCAGCCTGTGCAACATAGGGAGACTTTGTCTCATCAAAATATTTTAAAATTACTCAGGTATGAGGGTCCGTGTCTTTGGTTTCAGCTACTTAGGAAGCTGAGATGGGAGGGTCACCTGAGCCTAGAAGTTTGAGGCTATAGTGGCATGACTGCTTCTCTGCATACCAGCCTGGGCAACAGAGCTAGACCCTCCTTGTCTAAATAAATTAATTAATAGAAGTGGTCACCATTGAAGGATATAAATGAAACAGCCCATCATTTAAAAAATGGTAAACAGAAGAAATCAAGCCTTGAACTGGTGTTTTCTATATAAGTTGTAGAAGTGAGTAACACAGTTTATAAGAAGCAGCATCTCTTTTTTGTATTTGCTTCATTTTTTTCTTCATGCAAGGCCCTTCTTCGGGTAGCAGTATCTCTTTCTGGAAGTATGGCAGCTCATAAACGAAGAAGGAATGATACAACAATACCTTCATTGTTCAATCCACAATTGATCAATGGCCATTAACATCACCAATTAAAAAAAAAGATGTCCAGAAAGTACACACCTCCTTCCAGAAGAAACTAGCACAGTCTTTGCCCTGACCCTCAAGTCCAACCTGAATCTCACCAAGTCTTGAGATCAAACTACTAATTTATCAAAACCAGAACAAAGTGAAGAGCAAGTTCACCAACATCACAAGATACAATTAGCAAAATTCACAGTATGAGAAACAGCATAATAAGAACACACTTAGCGTAATCCAAACTATGGGGAAATGGCCTGATTTATTCTATAAATGGACTGCAAGGGACAGCACAGAGATCAAAGTGGGAAGTTGTTAGGATAAAAAAAACCCTAAGAGGTGAATCAAACAATCCCAAGGAGAGACTTTATTTGGATCCTGATTCACACAGTAAATACATGAAATGACTGGAAATTTGGATCTAGAAGGAGAGTTGACAGTGATAAAGAGCAATGGTGTGAGATGGTTGGTTGATGATGGTATTGGGATTATGATATTTTTTAAAGAGTTCTTGTCTCCGGGCATGGTGGTTTACACCTATAATCTCAGTAATGTGGGAGGTCAAGGTGGGAAGATCCTTTGAATCCAGGAATTCTAGACCAGCCTGGGCAACATAGCAAGACCCTGTCTCTACTAAAATACAAATCAAAAAATTATCTTGGCATGGTGGTGTGAGTCTGTAGTTGCAGGAAGCTGAGGCAGGAGAGGCCACAGTGAACCAAGATCATGCCACTAAACTCCAGCCTGGTTGACAGAGACCTTGTCTTGAAAGAACAAACAAGAATCATATCTTTTACAGACATATACCACGATAGTCAGGGAGGAAATTATATGATGTGTGGGATTTGCTATAAAATCATGAGAGGGAGAGGAGAAGCATGTAGGAGTATACATGTAATGAGATTGGCTATCAGATAACAAGTATCTGAATCTGCTGCTGAGTAGGTGAAAGTCACTACACTAGCCTCTTGTTCCAAAAAGCTTGAATAGAAAGTTTGTGTAAAAATCCACTTCATGGATTTGTAACAAGCATTGAATAAGATCATGTATACAGAGTGTTTTATCATCATGGCTTGCAGGTAGTCAGCACACAAACATTGTTTTTAGTTTTGTATAGTCCCTGTCCATTAATCACACCCAAAAAAGGTATGTTGTTCACACCAAGAGCTCTGGCCCATAGACCTTTGTCCACTTGATGGTAATTTATTGGAATTTGAGGTTTAGAATGAGGAAATACCAGCCTTCAAAGCCCCAGGCCTATTATGAAATAGCAAAGCCAATGGTCCCAGATGCCTTCGTAGCATACCTAGTAAGTAGGACCATTTTTCTCTCACCTTGTAGGCACACTTGAGTTCATTCACTCATTTTTCTTTCTTTCTTTCTTTTTTTTTTTTTTTTGGAGACAGAGTTTTGCTCTTGTTACCCAGGCTGGAGTGCAATGGCATGATCTTGGCTCACCGCAACCTCTGCCTCCTGGGTTCAGGCAATTCTCCTGCCTCAGCCTCCTGAGTAGCTGGGATTACAGGCATGTGCCACCATGCCCAGCTAATTTTTTGTATTTTTAGTAGAGACGGGGTTTCACCATGTTGACCAGGATGGTCTCAATCTCTTGACCTTGTGATCCACCCGCCTCGGCCTCCCAAAGTGCTGGGATTATAGGCGTGAGCCACCGCATTCACTCATTTTTCATTCATTTCTTATTTGCCATGTATTGGGTACTAGGGATCCATAATACAGTTGGCCCCTAATTGAATGGAAGCATCAATTTCAAAGCATCATTTCAGGATGAGTATTTTGTGTCAAGTGGATTCAAGGAACAGTGAGAAGGATTCATGGCCTCAGTCATGAAGACCCTCCCAAGAGCCAACCATCCTGGGCACATATAAATGAGTGGAGACATGGAGCTCACCCTTACAAGGCCTAGAACCTGACAGAGCATACAAGACAGAAGCCCAAATAACTAAGAACAGATATCTGAAGATGAGAAGTGAGCCCCAAAGGATCCTGTGAAAATGCTTTGTGTTTGTGGATTTATCACGCAGAACGAAACCTTTGTTTTTATTCACAGGTTAGACACACTCTATATATAGAATCTATGAAGGGACATTTCTGGGTTTTTTGAGGCCTGTGGTGAAAAATGGAATATCTCAGGCTGCTCAGGATGAATAATGCAGTCACCAAGAGGGACAGGGTGGCCACAGGTGGCCAGCAGCAGGGATGGGCATTGTGAGCCTTTGGATGGGGTTGTGGGAAGTGGCATTGTGAGCCACTGGCCTGACTTTGTTGTTTCAGGTGACATAGGAGGCTTTGTGGGTAACAGGCATCAGCCAGGGCCAGCAGCCTTCAGTCAGAAGCTGGTAGTGGGAGGAGGAGGAGCTCCGACTACTCACAGAAGTGTTTGTGCCCTTGGTGCTTGCTCTGTTGCTTTGCTTTTTCTTCCTTTTTTATTTTTATTTTGTGTGTTGCTTTGTTTTTTTTTCTCTTTTTTGTCGTTTTTTTTTTGATGTTTGTTGCTTTGTTTTGCTTTTTTCTTTTTTAAATTTCATTTTAGGTTTGGGGGTACATGTGGAGAACATGCAAGATTGTTGCATAGGTACACACATGGCAGTGATTTACTGTCTTCCTCCCCATCACCTATATCTGGCATTTCTCCCCATGCTATCTTTCCCCAACTCCCCACCCCCTGCTGTCCCTCCCCTATTTCCCCACAACAGACCCCAATGTGTAGTGCTCCCCTCCCTGTGTCCACGTGTTCTCATTGTTCTTTTTTGTTTTTTTCTGATTTTGTGCATTGCTTTGTTTTGAAAGTCCCCTTGTAGGTCACCCATGGGGAATTGCCTAGGCCCCAGGGCTGGCCTCATTTGTGCCTGGTGCCAGGAGGCAGTGGCGTCATGTTGTGAGACTCAGTCTGTGGCAGCTGCAAACACCAGCATCCACTACTGCAGAGCCTGCCATGTTACATCCAGGAGTGGTGGAGGTCCAGGACGTGCAGACCATCAAGTCAAAGCAGCACAAAGGTAAAGAAGCCACTGGTGCCATTTTCTCTCTGGCCACCACCTCCCCCACCTCCTTCCCATCCCCTCACCCCAGAGTCATCTTCAGCTTTCAGCTCCCTTCTGCCTATAGCCAGCTTTCCCAGGGCTGCACATGGGGGACAAAGGCTAGTCCTGCCTCTTGTCTTTGTTCTTGAGCCTTCTTGCTTGAGGCATTTTTGGTCTAGTCTTTCCCTTTCCCTGGTGAAAATTCAGATACTCCAGTTTTAGAGTCTCCATCCCATTCTTTAGCCTTACCTATCTTTAGCTACTATGGTACCTCAGTGAAGGAGTTGGTTAAAGCCCAATCATTTCTTTTCTCCTATTTGATAAGGAAGCTAATAATTGGGAAAATTCAGACTCAAATATTTGGAGACTTCTTAAATTTAAAATAGAGCTATGGAAGAGATTATATGGTTTTCTTAATAGATGGTTTGAAGTCACCTTGATAGAAGCAGCTTTATTTCTTCCAATTGTAATTTGAAAACTGAAGGAAAAATTGAGGGACATGCTTAAAAGGACTGCAAAAGGTATGAAATGTTACTGCCAGAGCTGTAAAAAAGTTGTTTTTGTTGTGGTTTTACCCAAAAGTTTAGCCCTGGAGCTCTGATTACTTTAAAATTCCCACTTTGACATGGATGTCTCTTCAGACCTACTCCAGTAACTTCACAGGCTTTGTTTACCTTCTTGTTCTGAAAGACAGGTAGAGCTAGCTCATGGTTACAGGTTCCAAAAGAGATGAAATGACTTTAGACTTGAATTTGTAAGGTAAAGACTTGAGAGTTAGAAGGCCAGACCCTGCCTGTGGAAAAGAGTTTGTTTTCATGGCTTCCCTTCCTACAGGATGGGAAAGGGGAGGAGAGAGGAAGCATTTCATTTATTTGCTATGGTCAAATTGAAGACAAAAACTAACACTTGTAAGACAGGAGTGGAGCATTTAGTTACAAAATCAGTCAAACATTTGTGTATCACTACATTTGTTGAGCAAATGAAAGCTACCAGACTGAGAAAACCAGAGATGCTAATGGAACTGACATTAGTAACCAGGATTTTCTACTGAGTTCAGCGCCCAGGGTGACTTTCAATAACCACCCTTCCCTCCACACACTTTTCTCATGATTGGAAAGCTCAGGCAACCCAGGATGAATAATCCAGTCACATGGGGGGAATGGTGACCATAGGTGGGCAGAAGCAGGGATGGGCATTGTGAGCCATTGGGTGGGGCTGTGGGGCAGGGCATTGTGAGCCATTGGGTGGGGCTCTGGTGCAGGGCATTGTGAGCCAGTAGCCTGACTTGGTTGTTTCCTGGTAACCAGGTGACATAGGCTTTTTGGGTGACAGGCATCAACCAGGGCCAGCAGCCTTCAGTCTAAAATCCTAAAGGATTTTAGAAATAGATGAATCTAGCAACAGATAATTCTGGGTAACCAGTTCCTTGAACAAAAACTAAGTCCACTGAAATAGAAAACATTATATCATAAAGACATAGAAATATGATCAGCTCATTTCTTTCATTTTAATGGCAGAGAATTTATTAGTATGGAGAAAATGTCTTACAGGTCTTGTGTTTAAACTTCAGTTTGGCTCTTACCTTCTTTCACAGAATAATTAAACCTCATGATGGGTGTGCCTTTGTAACAAGGAAGTGCTGTACTCCCTTTTCAGAATATTGAAAAATTGTGAAAGAATAAACAAATAATTATGAGACTTAATAGATTGTACCTTATACACAAAGCATGCAAGTGGGAACTCCTTGCTTGGTGGTGTATGGCAAGCCTCTGTGATATTTTGTCTGATTTGGTAGATGAGGTAGTGAGAGAACAAAGTGAGCCTTTTTCTTATTCTTTAGGATGTGAAACATGTTTTCATGTACATCTTATTGGAAGCTTCCAAATACAAATAAGGCTTGTGTATATTCTCCCTATGTTGCTGATGCAGAAAGGAAGGTTTAGAGATCTGAAGGGACTGTGTGAGACAGCTGCTGAACAGCATTGAGGTTCTGCGTCATCAAAGTAGACATTGGAGGTCATAGTGATGCCAAACTCAGTTCTTAAAGAACTTGATGGACTCCAGAATGTCTTATATTTTAAGGTCTACCCATAATATAGACCTCTCTTGGAACTTACTTTCATCTTGATTAGTTCCTTTTGCATTTTATTTTACACATTTACCTCTCCGTTTTTCCTCCTAGAGAGATGGGTCCTCACTGTGTGGCACAGGCCGGCTTCTGAATCCTGGCCTGGGCTCAAGCACTCTTGCTGCCTCAGCCTGTAGGAAAGCTGACAATATAGGCATGTGCCGTCTCTCCTGGCTCTACCTTCTGTCTATACATTTATTGAAATAGATAAAGATAAAAGTAGGGGTAACAAAGTGGCCTACATTTACCAGTCAAATCAACAGTTTAATAAATGTGGAAGAGTTTCTTCTGCTAACTGATTTGAAGCTGAGAATGCCCTGGTCGGGAGAAGCTGGCAAGAGGGCAGGCAAGGCCCATACATTAAAGCACAGGCTGCGAGTAAGAAGTGTTGTCAGAACAGTTGAAGAAAAAATAGTTTGTGAGCACAGAATTTACCATTTTTTGTGTATGTGCATGACAGTAAGTTTCTATATGTCTCTTCAAATGTATTTTTGTGATATTCAGTAAAAAATAACAGAAACCTCAATTTCAGTGTTTATTCTTTGGCCAGGCATGGTGGCTCTTGCCTGTAATCCCAGCATTTTGGGAGGCTGAGGTGGGCGGATTACCTGAGGTCAGGAGTTTGGGACCAGCCTGGCCAACGTGGTGAAACCCCTTCTCTACTAAGTATACAAAAATTTAGCCAGGCGTGGTGGCACATACCTGTAATCCCAGCTACCTGGGAGGCTGAGGCAGGAGAATCACTTGAATCCAGGAGTTGCAGGTTGCAGTGAGCTGAGATCACGCCAGTACACTCCAGCCTGGCTGGGCAAATAAAACAAGAAAGAAACATGTCCAGAACACTCAATATAAAGTACAGACAAATTCAAAGTTTGTTGTTAATATCTTTTTTTTGATAACGAGAAAAATCTCTTTAATATCGTGTAGCTCTAAGACTGATACAACTGAAAACCCTATGTTGTTAATATCTTTATTTCAGAAAATTGTGTATCACTTTTCTTGAAAAATGATAAATCCCTACTTAGATGTGAACCATTTTAGCCTTTCTATAATAATGAATTGAATTCTTTTGGTAACTTAGACAAATATCACAACAACCAGTGCTCCAACCATTCTGTAGCACACTAAACAGTCATTTAAAGCCATCAGGCAGATCAGGGCGCACTGCTGTGGAAAGACATCCTGGAGTGCTCTCTAGGTGGCAAGTCCTGTTTCAGGAACTTATGCCATAAATGATGCTCTGCTTCATTGTTCTCTTCTGAAATATTTCAAAAGAACATTGTGTCTTGAAGCCATTTCAAAGAGAAGTTCTAAGAACCCAGTTTAGATCTCAGACTCAAAAAACATATTTTGTCCTATCATGTCTTTATTTAGCAGTATATCTAATATGATGGGGGGTAATATAAGTAACACAGATTAAGATAGTAGGAGCTCATTATCCAATTTTATCACTACCCATCGACTTTTCATGCAGCCTTTTGTGTTCTTACCATAGGAACGCTGCTAGTTTGTTGGCTCTGTCAAGTGAGGGGTCAGGGAAGGGAAAGAATGGGCATATGATGTAGAGACCTCTGAGCAGCAGGTCTTTCAGCTTTCTAGTAGCTATTTTGAACCCTTCTTTTAAAATAACTATTAGTATGTTTCATGTAAAAGATGTGAAAATAAATAAAAGTTATTTATTACACTCAGAATACCCAGAGCTCACTCGTGTTACTGTTTGAGTACTGTTTTTCTGGAAATGGTTTGAATATAATATTTTATTTTACAAACTTTTTTGTAAAATAAAACTTTCTGATTATTTTATATGTGCTGCCTTGTAACTTTTACTTAAAGCAGTGAAATAATGGCGTAAGTTTCTCAAACAGTACTTGACACCTAGAGAGCACTCTAGGATGTCTTTGCCTGCCAGGGCACCCTGCTGTACCTGATGACTTTGAATAACTGCTTAGTATACTACGGACTGGTTAAAGCACTATTTATTTACCTACCCTTTGCAATTGGCCATCTTTTTTCATAAAGTCAGAAACAATCCTGTCATGTTTGATTCAGAACACACATAAAGCACATTTTGATAACAGATGCGTGATATCTCGTTAATATATTTTGTTTAGTGACATAATTAAACCGATGAAATGAGTCACTTTGTATTTAAGGTATTTTAGTATTAAATATACTTGTGTCAAACTGCAGTTACCGTTGACTTTTAAATAGACATTAACATTCTTCATTTATATTTTTGTGGATCTTGATAGCTTGTGTCTTTAATTCTAAATAGCTACCAGTTTAAAAAATCTGATGCTGTCTTAGGTGATAAAAAAAAAGACAACTTTAGCAGATCTGGGAGAATTGGGAGAAACTTAACTAGTTTGGGGTAAAATGAAATATATGTATTGGGCAGTTTTAAATGGCCTGGCAGTGTTGCAGATGCAGGGTGAACAGTGGAACACAACAGAGAGCCCCATTCTAAGACTGACCCTTACATTCGATAGGGAAGTAAGGGCAGCCAGCACATGAATAGTCAAGAATGGCAGGTGGTGATGTGCTGGGAAGAAAGTAAAGCAGGGTAATGAATTAAAGAGGAGGGCAGTTTTATGGAGAGTTGGCGCTAAGAGCTGGATGTTCTCTTTAAGTGACATGTGAACAGTCTTAAAAGTGAAATGGACTGGGTATAGTGGCTCCCACCTTTAATCCCAGCACTTTGGAAAGCTAGGATGAGGGGATTCCTTGAGGCTGGAAGTTTAAGACCAGCCTGGCCAACACAGAGACACCCCATCTTATTTATTTTTAAAAATAAAAAAGTGAGGGGAACCCTGTGAGGATGATGGGAGAAGGCTTCCAGAGAGGGATATCCGCTTTAGAATTCCTGAAATTGAAACAAAGTTTCAATTTGAAACTTGGAAACAAAGTTTTAGGCAAAGGACAGAAAGGCACAAGGGTGGCTGCAGCAGAGTAAAAGGATGCTGGGATGAATAAGGTGGGTGAAGGCCTTGTACACGTAGTGAGCACTCACAGAGAAGATGGACTTCAGTTGAGATGGAAAACCACTGGAGGATTATAGCCCAGGATTACTGTTAATTCTCTAAGAAAAAGACTGAGTAGCAGCTCTGTGTGAATATACTGTAATACAGGCAAGGGTGAAAGCAGGAAGAGCAACTAGGAGACTGGTGGAGTAGTTCAGGTAAGAGACGACAGTAAAGAGAAAAACAACAATGACCTGAAAGAGGCTGACTTGAGAAAAATCAAGTGAAACTAAACGTAGATAATAAAGTGGTAAATAGACAAGTCACAGAAAAAGAAATGCAGGTGATTTTTAAACACATCTTTACTCATAAAAGAAAGGCAAATGACAGCTCTACTGCAGGGTCTCTTCCATTGAGGGAAATCCCAAAACCATGGCAAAATGTTCTTTGGTGTGGCTGTAAGGAAAGTTGCATTCATATATTGCTGGTGGAAATGCAAAAAGGCTCAACTCCATGAAGGGGAATTTGGCACAATCTCACAACTGCATTTGAACCAGACATCCTACTTTGAGGAATTTTATCCTGAAGGTATGCTCCATAAATATAAAACAAACTATGTGCAAAGTTCTTGTTGCATTATTTTCAATAGTTAAATATTGGAAATAACTGACATGCCTAGTAAGGGACTAGTAAAATAAGCTGGGGCCGGGCGTGGTGGCTCACGCCTGTAATCCCAGCACTTAGGGAGGCTGAGGCGGGTGGATCACGAGGTCAAGAGATCAAGAGCATCCTGGTCAACATGGTGAAACCCCGTCTCTACTAAAAATCAAAAAATTAGCTGGGCATGGTAGCACGTGCCTGTAATCCCAGCTACTCAGGAGGCTGAGGCAGGAGAATTGCCTAAACTCAGGAGGCAGAGGTTGTGGTGAGCTGAGATCGTGCCATTGCACTCCAGCCTGGGTAACAAGAGTGAAACTTCGTCTCCAAAAAAAAAAAAAAAAAAAAGCTGGTACTTCTACAGAAAGGAGAAGTATGGAGCTGTGAAAACGAGTAAGATGTCTTTTTATTGACTCCCAAGATAGGGTATGCAGAAAAGCCAAAAGGAGAACATGCGGTAATATACATGAAAGAAAGCATGGGAAATAATGTGTATTTCATTATTTAAAAATAAAAGACAACGTTGGGGAAGTCTTGATGATGACCTGTGACAGCTTTCTCCTAACTTCACTGGGTAGCCAAAGTGCATATTTTCTCAAAATATTATTTTGCTATGGGTTCTGCAAAGGATGTTAACTGTGCATTTTTCGCCTTTGAGTTAGAGAAAGCTTTGGTTTGTAATCTATTGTGCCTTGTGTAGTATACAGACTGCTGTTTGATTTTATTCTATCCTCTCAATGTTTTGAGTTAGGTGTAATATGGGAATTATACTTGTGTTACATATGAGGAGGCTGGTTCTAAGAAGAAGACTGAGTAGATCAAGAATGTAAATTCTAGATATATGGCATATAAAACTAGAATTTATAAAAAGGCGTGCATATGGCCTGCTTTAAATACTACCTTGTCTAAAAAACTTTTTTTTAGTTTACTAAAGCAATTAAGCCTCAGGATGAACACAGCAATATTAGATAATGAGAAATAAAATGGGGATACTTGTAACACAGTAATGCTTTTTATTTTGAAGAGACAGGGTCTTGCTATGTCACCCAGGCTGGAGTACAGTGGCGTGATCATAGCTCACTGCAGCCTCACTTTTCTAGGCTCAAATGATCTTCCCACAACAGGCTTCCATGTAGCTAGGGATACCAGGGCTCACCACCACATCTGGTGACATTTAGAAGATTTTTTGTAGAGACGAGGTCTCACTGTGTTGCCCAGGTTGATCTTAAACTTCTGACCTTAAGCAATCCTCCTGCCTTAGCCTCTAAAAATATCAGGATTATAGCTGTGGGCCAGCACATTTAGCCCAGAAATGTTCCTAAAAGTCTGAAAAAAATAAGTTAAATTTTATCAAGAAATATATAAAAAGATAAACATATACTATGGTATATGAAATGTCACAGTTCAGTCATGGTCATTACAACAGTGATTAAAATATCCAACATTTGAGAACTGAGAGGGATGTACAGGATTGGTTTGGAAGCCAGAATTAGGATTGTCAGAGCTGGGAAAGCAGAAGCAAGGCAAGAATGTGCCCAGGAGTGGGGTATGCAGCAGCTCCGTGGTATGCCATGTGCACAGGAGTATGGCACACAGCAGCTCCGTGGTATGCCATGTTGACAGGAGTGGGGCACGCAGCAGCTGTGTGTGGTATGCTGTGTGTCCTCTTTTATGTCAGGCCAGCTCCAGCCCAGCAGATGAGAGTCACCTGATGGGTAGAAAGAGTGGACTCAGGTAAAATCTCTGATCATGCATCATGACTAAGAGACTTAAAATGTTTGCCTTATGGGTCATAAAACTAGTAAAAGTGACAACATAGGGATAATAGAGTAGGTCAGTAAATGCGGTAAGCCACCTGCCGCCTCTCCAGAGCTTCAACCATCCCACAGAAATGTTGGGGCAGCAGGATTCGACAAAGCTTGTGAGAAGAGCTCTCAGTCCAGGGTCCAGGGCATGATCTAGAGGACTCAGGTGTTCCAGGATCTCTATCCCTGGGGAACCAACTACATTATTACCTCAGATCTTTCACTCCTCACTGTGGTGACTCTGGGCAAGTCACTCAAAATGTCTGAGTTTTAATTCACTGAATTGGAAAATATGGGTTGTAGCCCCTTTTCTGCCTGTCCCTTAGGGCTGATGTGGGGATCAGGGAAATCACAGATCTCTGTCATGAGCTGGAAATCATGTGGCCATGGAAACTGTGAAGTCACTTTCCATCCTACCCTGCACAGGAGACATGCAAGCTCCCTCTCTGTATTCAACCACTACCAAGTATCTGGATTATCCTTCTCGACATTGAATGATTGAACATTTTAGGGGATTTACCAAAAAAAAAAAAAAAGTCTTTTTAAGTCTTTATCTGCATTTTATCCTTTTAGGCATTATAGCCCTTAGTAGGTCTATAGCATAGATCTACTAATGTTTCTACATCTCAGAATAGGGAAGAGAGGCACAGATGGGTTCATATCCCTCTCCCAGGTATGTGTAGAGTCTAAGTAGGATTTGAACCCAGCCTATTCTTGGTAACTTGGATCTTCTGCTTTTCTATATTGTCCCATGTGAATAAAGGTATCTGCCTGGACAAACAAATCTTCCTAGAACGCAGATTTAATTCAGGTAGTATTGAAAAGCAGTTGGTGAAAACTAGGATCAAAAGTTTAAACTGAATAAGTTTTTACTAATTTCTCTGTGGTCTTCTGCCAGCAAGATGTTAAGCATTGTCTTTATTATAATACATTTCTACCTTGCAGGTTTGGCTGGTCGTGTCAGGAGCTGGGTACAAAAAAAACGGAGGCGTAAGAAAATTTGCCCCAATGAAAATGAAGGTAGGGTGGAAATTATATCATTAAGTTGATTGAAGCAAATAATTCCAGTTTACTCATTCAGTGTCCTAGAGAAACTCTGTAAATGCTACGTCATGTTCTTCATTTATTTCATTTGTGTCCCTTTAAATGCATTAAATCAATGGGCGATGAAACAGCACAAGTAAAGTTACATTGACAACTTAGAGTTTGGTTCTTTTTGTTTCTTTGTTTTTGTGAAAAGGTCTCATTTTGTCACCCAGGAGTGCATTGGTGCAATCACAGCTCATTGCAATCTTGACCTCCCCATGTTCAGGTGATCCTTCTACCTCAGCCCTTCTTGTGTCTTGTTTGGAAACATAATTTTTAAAATGTAAGGAAATACTAAAATTATCATTACTTGCTCGTACGGTAAGACTACATTTCTTTGTAAGAATTTTGGTAGAATTTACCGGTGAAATCATCTGAAGGTAGTGTTTTTGTTCTTTTGAGAAGATACTAATTATTGATTCAATTTATAATATAAATATACGCCTAGATGATTCATTTATCATGAGAAGACTTTTAACCTTCTGAAACAGATCCAAAAAGTTATCTCATTTCATATAATGTTTCCAAGTGTGAGCACAGATGTGTTCACAATATTCCTTTATTATTTTTTGATTCAACTCGTCTTGAACTGATATTAGTACATCGTGACTTCCTTCTTTTCCTTTGGGGTTAGACAAGGTAGAGGTTTATCAGTGTTATTGATCTTTTCAAAGAACTGGTTTTTGGTTTTGTTGATTTTCTCTGATGATTTCCTGTTTTTTATTCCATTAATTTCTGGAATCGTTATTTATTTTTTCTCTATTTGACGTTATACTGCTGTTTTCATTGCCCAAGGTGGAAGCTAGATTATGAATTTGGATTTTTCTCATTATTGACACAGCATCATGAATGTTAGTCACTAAATATAATATTGAAATGCACACTTAATAATTAAAATAATAAATATGTAAGTGTTTAAAATTTAAAAAATACAACAGGATAGATGATAAATGTAGTGGCAGGATATGTAGATCCACAGAAGTTAAATAATCCTGTAATGTTTTATAAAATGTTGGGATTTGCCTAGACCTTCACATGGGCAGCAGGTGTGATGAGATGCTCTCACTGAGCCACAGAGTGCCTTTCTGTATTAACCAGTTCTCAGACTATTTCACACTGATGAGGTTGCCCTAGCTAGAAAGCCAAGGCTCTTTCATTTCTTTCTTTCCCTCTTCTTTGCCTTCCTTCAGCACCAAGGAGAGTGGCCCAGCAGCAGCTCAGTTCATGCTTGTCAACAGCCCACCTCCATACACTGTAGCTTCGGTCCACATCCCCCAAGCCTCTTTGTGGGATTCCTCAGCATCACCAGTGCACTGACTGTCTCTCTGTGTTCTCCTAGCTCCTGGTCAAGATGCAAAGGAGTGTACAACTGAAAAGCTTCAGGAGGAGACGTCACCTGACATAGTAAGATGCATTTCTTTGTCTTGAAGAGAAATGTCTTTTTCTGGGGCTTCTAGAATATCAAGTGAGTATCATTTTTGATTGCCATTGTGAATCAGACCTCAGCTGTCATGGACTCTAGCTACCAGTCACTGGAATGTATGATCAACTGAAGCCTGATTGATGATGTCAGTCAAAAGATGACATCACTGACAAACTAGTAGTGAGCATATTTCTCAGTAGCAACATTTTCTTCCTGAAAAATAATTTTGTATTTGGCAGCCAACATGGACTTGCTAAATATTCCATGAAAACCCACTGCCTTGGTGGCTCACACATGGAATCCCAGCACTTTGGGAGGCTGAGGCAGACAGGGCCAATATAATGAAACCCCATCTCTACTATAAATACAAGCATTAGCCGGGCATGGTGGTAGGCACCTGTGGTTACAGCTAGTTGGAAGGCTGAGGCAGGAGAATTGCTTGAACCCAGGAAGCTGAGGTGGCAGTGAGCCGAGATCATGTCACTGCACTCCAGCCTGGGTGAAAGAGCAAGAATCTGTCCAAAACCAAAGACAAAAACCCACTGTCCTTTCTCCAAGCATCCTCTATGCTTTATTTGGGGGTCAGTGACTTGATCACTGTTTGATACCTGGTTTTCTAACACCACCAAGTGAATAAAAGACTGTGCAGTCAGGACCCGGTATGATCTGATCCTAATGATGGATTTTTTTCCCTCTTACTGCAGGAAAATGCTACAGGTGAATATCACCACAGTATGTATTCCTTTTTTAACATAGATTCATTAGGATGTAGGTGACATGCAACCCAATTCACCCATTTAAAGTGGGTGATTGGGTGTTTTACTATATCTATGGGCTATGCACCCATGTTACAATCTAATTTCAAAACCTTTTCATTCCTCCTCAAAGGAACCTCATTAGTAGACACCCCTCTGTTTTTCTTAACCTTGCACCCCTGGTTCTAAGCAGCCCTAATATACTTCTTGTTTCTATATACAGTCCCTTTCTGTATTAACTGGTTCTTAGGGTGACTGTTTCACATTGATGAAGTTGCCCTAGCTAGAAGGCCAAGGCTCTTTCATTTCTTTCTGCCCCTCTCCTTTTCCTTCATTCAACACCAGGAGAATGGTCCAGCAGCAGCTCAGTCCATGCTTGTGAACCACCCAGCTCCATCACTCCAGCCCCTCCATACACACATTCCCCAAAGTTCCTTGTGAGATTCCTCAGCAGCACCAATGCACTGACTGTCACTCTGTGTTCTCCTAGCTCCTGCTGATGACTCAGAAGAGTGTACACTTGGCAATGAGGAGGAGGTGGTGGCCTCTGACACGGTAACATACATTTTTTTGTCTGGATTTTTTTTTCTGGGGCTTCTAGACTATGAAGGGAATATGATTTTTGACTGCCATCCTAAATTAGGCCTCGGGGGTGTTGGACTCTAGCGACTGGTCACTGGAGTTTATCACCAAATGAGGCCTGACGGATGATGTCCATCAAAAGAGGACATCACCTACAAACTGGTCGTGAGCACATTTCTCAGTAGCAGTGTTTTCTTCTTCAAAAAATAATTTTGTATTTCCTAGAGAACATAGACACCTGCTAAATTTTCCAGACTACTGCATTTTCTGCAAGCATCGTGTATGTGTCATCTGGGTCCAGTGATTTGATCACTATTCGACATCTGGTTTTCTCGTTGTTGTTGTTTTGAGACAGAGACTTTCTCTGTCACCCAGCTACAGTGCAGTGATGTGATCTCAGATCACTCTAACCTCCGCATACTGGGTTCAAGCAATTCTCCTGCCTCAGTCTCCTGAAGGACTGATGCAGGCTCACCCCACCACCATGCCGAGTTTCTTCTAGTTTTTAGTAGAGATGGGGTTTCACCATGTTGGACAGAATGGTCTCAATCTCCTGACCTCATGATCTGCTCGCCTCGGCCTCCCAACATGTGTGAGCCACAATGCCCAGCCTGCCATCTGGTTTTCTAATGTCACCAAGTGAATACAAGACCTGTGTCAACAGGACCCAGCATGAAATAATCCTCATGGTGTTTCTTTTTCTCTTATTGCAGGAGAAGCCTGCGGCCCAGCATGACCGCCGTACGTATTCTTTTTCTATTAAACAGTTACCGAGACGTAGTTGATATGCAAACCAATTTACCCATTTAAAGTAGGTGATTCAGTGTTTTTACTAAATTTACAGGGTCATGCAACCATATTTAGAATCTAATTTTAGAAGCATTTGGTTCCCTCTCAGAAAAGCCCCTTAGTCGTGACTCCTCTTTTTTCCCAACCCCCCACACCACTGGTTCTAGGCAGTCCTAATCTACTTCCTGTGTCTATAGTACACTGCCTTTTTGTATTAACCGGTTCTTCAAATGATGATTTCACATTGATGAGGCGGCCCTAGCTAGGAAGCCAAGGCTCTTTTTTTAATTTCTCCTTTTCCTTCCTTCAGCACCGAGGAGAATGGTCCAGCAGCAGCTCAGTCCATGTTTATCAAAAGCCCAGCTCCATCACTATAGCTCGGCCCACATTTGCCAAAGCTCCTTCTGAGATTCCTCAGCAGCAACAATGCACTGACTGTCACTCTGCATTCTCTTAGGTCCTGTTGAGGTCCTACAGGGCCTCATTTTAGAAGGCATTGAAGAAGATGAGATGCCCCACGACCTGGTAAGATGAATTTCCTTGTCTCAGAGAAATTTTTATTTCTGGGGCCTCTGGAATGTCAAGGGAATATCATTTTTGAGTGCCATTGTCAATCAGACTTCAGTCGTCATGGACTCTAGCGACCAGTCAGTGGAGTCTCTGACCAACTGAGTCCTGATTGCCGACGTCAGTCAATGGACGGCATAACGTACAATCTGGTCATGGGTATATTTCTCAGTAGCAACGTTTTCTTCTTGAAAAATAATGTTGTATTTTTCAGCCAGGATAGATACTTGCTAAGGATTCCAAACTCACTGCATTTTGCAAGGATCCCCTGTGCTCCATTTGGGGCCTGTGACTTCATCACTGTTTGACATCTGGTTTTTTGTTTAGTTTAGTTTTTGAGACAGAGTCTCTCTGTCACCAGGCTACAGTGCAGTGGTGTGATCTCTGATCGCTGCAGCGTCCTTCTGCTGCATTCAAGCAATTCTCCTGCGTCAGCCTCCCGGGTAGCTGGGACTGAAGGCTCTCGCCGTCATCATGTTGGGTTTCTTGTAGTTTTTAGTATAGACGGGGTTTCACCATGTTGGCAAGGATGGTCTCGATCTCTTGCCCTCATGATCTGCCCGCCTCAGCCTCCCAAAGTGCTGGGATTACATGCGTGAGCCACCGCGCCCAGCCTGCCATCTGGTTTTCTCATGTCACCAAGTGAATACAAGACCTGTGCCAACAGGACCCAGCATGATATAATCCTCATGGTGTTTCTCTTTCTCTTATTGCAGGAGAAGCCTGCGGCCCAGCATGACCGCCGTACGTATTCTTTATCTATTAAACAGTTACCGAGATGTAGTTGACATGCAAACCAATTTACCCATTTAAAGTTGGTGATTCAGTGTTTTTACTATATTCACAGGGTCGTTCAACCATTGTTGGAATCTAATTTTAGAAGCTCTTGGTTTCATTTTCGAAAAGTTTCTTAGTAGTGACTCCTTTTGTTTTTAACCCCTTACAGTACTGGTTTTAGGCAGCCGTAACCTATCTGTTACTCTAGTATACTGCATTTCTGTGTTAACCGGTTCTTCAAATGACGATTTTAGATTGATGAGGTTGTTTTAGCTAGGAAGCCAAGGCTCTTTCATTTATTTCTGCCTTTCTTCTTTTCATTTCTTTGGCACCAAGGAGAATGGTCCAGCAGCAGCTCTGTTCATGCTTGTCAAATGCCCAGCTCCATACACTCCAGCCTCGTCCACATTTGCCAAAGCTCTTTGTGAGATTCCTCAGCAGCACCAGTGCACTGACTTTCACTCTGTGTTCGCTTAGGTTTTGTTGAGGTCATACAGGACCTTATCTTAGAAGACGTTGAAGATGTTGAGATGCCCCTTGATGTGGTAAGATGTATTTTTTTGTCTCGAAGAGAAATTTTTATTTCTGGGGCCTCTGGCATATCAAGTGAATGTCATTTCTGCGTGCCATTGTGAATCAGACTTTAGTTATCTTGGACTCTAGTGACCAGTCAGTGGAGTTTCTGACCAAATGAGGCCTGATTGATGATGTCAGTCAATAGATGACATAACTTACAATATGGTCCTGGGCATATTTCTTAGTAGCAACATATTCTTCTTGAAAAATTATTTGGTATTTGCCAGCTAACATGGTCAGTTGGTAAATTTTTAGAACACCCCAGTGTCTTTTCCAGAAGCAACTTCTATGCTTCATTTGGGGACCAGTGACATGTTGTTTGCTGATGTCACCATGTGAAAAGACCTGCACCAACGGCACCCAGCATGATATGATGCTTACGATGTTTTGTGTGTTTTTCTCTTGTTGCAGGACACAGTGACGGCCTCAGTTGTCTGCCGTAAGTATTCTTTTTTTAAACTGCTTTATTTTCACACAGTTGACATTCAAAACAATTCACTTATTTAAAGTGGGTGATGTAGTGTTCTTAGTATATTTACCAAGTTTTGCAGCCATTGTCACCATTTAAGTGTAGAATCTTTTCATTCCTTCTCAGAGAAACCCTATAGCCATTAGTCACTTCTCTTTTTTCCTATGGCCCACACCTCTGGCCCTAGGCAGCTGCTAAGCTACTTTCTGTTTTTCTAGATTTGCCTTCTCTGGCAATTTCTCTTTTAATTTAAATTTGATTTTAATTTTTGGGATACATGTGCAGGATGTGCAGGTTAGTTACATAGCTAAAAGTGTGGCATGGTGTGCTGCACCTGTTAACCCTTCACCTAGGTATTAAGCCCCACATACATTAGCTCTTTAATCTGATGCTCTCCTGTCCACTTCCTCCACAGTGTGTGTTGTTCCCCTCTCTAACGTTGTACACATTCTAATATCACTTTCTTTCTAATGGCAAATCTAAGTGATAAGTCAGGGGGGATTTTCTTGCTTGCTTTTGTCTGGAGAACCTCATTAGCCCCAGGTTCCTGATAGGTCGGTGGATCTGGGACGTGCTGTGAGAAACATGTCTCCATGAAGAGCTCAGCTGTGAGACAGGAGAATCTCCATCATGCACTATGGATGCTACTGTTGAAATAGGTATTTGTTATTTTCTGAAAACCTTCACACACACAGAGCCAAGGTAGGTGCTTTAAGTCATGATGAATGTCAAGTGGACCACATGATGGTTTGAGGGTTTTTTTTGGAGCATTCATTTTTTGGAGATGCATTGCTTTTCAGTAAAATTTGATTGTCCTGTATGTGTCAGTATTTTCCCAATGGAACAAAAAAATGAAACTGATTGTGCAACATCGCTTGTTCACCCCAGAAGTGATTTTCTCATGACCAGATTGTCTTAGACATATTTAATCTCTATACGAAGCTTCCCATTGGTGCTGCAGGGGCGCTGCTGTGTGTGAGTCAAGGAAAATATCAGTGTTACCAACAATGAGGTTCTCAGAATTCTTGGACACCTGCTTAGTGGGCTCCATGGGAGAGAGCAAGGGAGAGCCTCGTGCTAGACCTGAAGGGGAACATGATTTAGAGGATCAGAGGGGAAACAATGAGGACATTTGGGACATTGTTAAAAGAGAATGTCAAGGTTGCAATGTTAGGGGCATCAGTTCAGCGTTATCACCAGGGCCCAGGCAAGGATATGAGACCCCTTCTGGGGAGGAGTGAGTAGGACATGGCCTTCCTCTTTGTGAAAAGCTTGGTGTGAACATCACCCTAAATACCTTGAGAAAGGAGCTTCCTTCCTGACCCATGTCTTCTCCATCTCTTTGTGCAATGATGGCAATGATACCAGCAGAGTGTCATTGCGGAGAGGGGCAGAACAGGAATCAGGTCCTCTTATTCACAGATTGCTAAAAGTTGTGCGGGAAACTCCATAGGATAAAATGTGCTGATCCCACATAATTTTGTCCATGCCGTGCTATGGATGACATTTTTATCTTTGGAGGATCCTCATTTTACATAATAAGATGTAAAACTTAGTGGGCATCCTCTATCCAGTCTGGGGCCCTTCATTAAAGAACTGAGTTTGCTGCTGTCTGTCATTTGCTTTTCTTCATGAGACCTTTGAACCACCTAAATATTGCCAGCACCCTCTTTTGGGACCCTGACATCTTAGAGGGTGAGATGGCACAAGTGCAGACATCCCTGGTTCCTCCCTGAAGTTTCCCTCCTCCTTTAATCACCTTCTTCCTTAAGGGACCTGCTCTGACTGCTGATGACTTGTTTAGACCTCTTCAGGTTTGGACTGTCGTACATAGAATAAGTCAATATGTGATTCTCGATGTCTGGCTTTTTCGCTCACATTATGATTTTTTATTCATTCATGTTTGTAAGTGTAACTGGTTTTGGAATAATACTGTCACTCATTTCTGTGAAGTAGACTGTTAGAAGGGAACAAATGTTTTATTGTCATGAATAGTGCCAAATACTTTTCAAAATGGTGATGCTAATTCATGTTCCTATAGCAGCATATGTGAGGAGACATTTCTCCAAATCCTTGTGTACTTTTAGTTTTATCTCTCCCTAAAAATTCCATCACTGTGGTTAGTCTTTCAATTGTATAGCATCTTAAAATTTTTAACCAAAAATTTTGTTTTAATCTAATAATGCAGGCCAGTAGGTTTGTGTATGCCCGTCTGACCCCAGCCATGTAAGTAATCATTGATCAAAATGTCACATGACTGTACTTGATAACAGCTGCTTAAGTTATTAAAATGTAAAGGATAACTGATATACATTTGAGTCAGGGATACTATGTGGTCACTTCTCTATGTTGCCTCTTTGAAGCATCACAATCACTTTGAGGCATAGTTTGGTTCTGTTCATCATACAGATGAGGAATGTGAGTCAGTTAAGTAAATTATCACAAGACATGCCCACAGCTGGATCTCTCTAACACCAAAGCCTAATCTATAAACTAATATGCTGCACTGCCTGTAGTGGCGAAGTAGACTTGCCCTAAAGTGAAGTTTCCTTCCACAGCTGGGCGTGTGAGCTTAGCGGGGTTGCTGTGACCCATTGCTTTATGGGTTTGAGATTGGTGTTGCAGAAACCCAGATGGAGAAGCTTTTGGCTGAGGGAGTGAAAAATGACTGAAAGGATAGATGAGTGCGTTTGAAGGATCATGCTTCCATAGAGCATGTTGTTGAGCCTCTTGGAATAAAAACAGATACAATCAAACAGAATCACCCAGTCCTCAGTTGTACCATTCGGTAAGCATCAGCACGCCATGAAGTGTGCTCACTGCTGTGTTGTGGGGACATAAAATCTATCCCAGGCTTCTGTGGCCACCCATTCTGTTCTGTCCAGTGAACCTCTTTTCTGTTCCGTTGGTCTACATCTCTGTTTTGGTACCAGTACCATGCTGTTTTGATTACTGGAGCAGCTGACTAAGTTTGTGATCAGGTTTTCAGTTGAGAGAAACAGAACCTTTTGCAAACAATCCACAGCACGACATACCCCTCATAAAGCTTTGTTTCTGTGTTGCAGGTAGTGCCGGTGTTCCATCTGAAGGTGTGACTCTGGTAAGTATTCTGGAATTATTGTCAAGAAAAAAAGCTGGTTTCAATGTGCAGTGCCACCCTGATTCTGGGATTGTGATAGGAATAAGCATAGTGAACGTGTTTCTTAGAAACCTGAGTTCCCCGGGGAAAAATCATGGCCAAATTTTGAGGCAGCAGCTGTGCTCCCTTTTGGCTGGTACTGAGTTGGGTACTTGAGGATTGGTGGTGTCTTGTGTGAGGCTGCATCATGTGATGTGAATGTGTGTGCTTCTGTGCAGGTGAGGCCGTGTGTTTTCTCAGGAGAGATTTCCCATTTACCCAGCCCATTCTCCAGTCTCCACTTTTAAAGAATAAAATCCAGCCCCACTCTACTCTGTCTGTACAATGACTCCTCCACTCTCACCAGAGCCATCCCTGGGTCTGGTTTATTATCCTCACAGCTCAGGTGGAGAACCTGAAGGGCCAGGGGGTGGCCCCAGCTCCTGAGTTCCTGAATGAAAAAGTGAAAACACAAATCCAGGAGTATGGGCCAGTGCTGACACTGGCAACTACTGGCATGCTTTCAGTCATGGGGTGTTCGCCACCATGCAGGGAGTACAGCATTCGTGTATAAGCCCTAAGGAAGTCCCAGACACTGCCCGTCGTTATAAAGTGGCCTCCATGGTCACACAACCCAGGGCAGTTACAGGTACATCTCCCCACAGACCAGCATAATCATCAGTGTGAAAAGCACAAAGATCCCCAGGTGTTTGGGTCGGCTCACAGATCCTTTTTTGCTTCGTTTTTAAGTTCAGGGGAACCTGTGCAGGATGAGCAGGTTTGGTACATACATAAGCGTGTGTCATGAGGGTGTGTTGTACAGGTTATTTTATCATCCACATGTTAAGCCTAATATCAGTTATTTTCCTGACCTTTTCCCTCCTCCCACCGTTCACCCTCCAGCAGGCCCCAAGCTTACAAATTCTAAGAGGAATGGGGGACCACACTGGCCAATGCAGCCCACTTCAGTTGTGAAGTTAATTTGCTCAACAATTGGCCAAAGCATATAAGGATCGGTGATGTCTTTTAGTAGATTTAGTAATATCTTCCCAAGCCCTAAAATGCTCAAACCCTGCCAGCTGAAAATGATGAGGAGAGGGACAGGTACGAACTCTGTGCAGCACTTGGTTGGTAGCCTGGTTTCCATCCCCTTGTGGCAACTCTCTTGTGCATGCATGTTAAAGACCCTCAGCCTCAACCCAAGCCTCCTCCATGAGGAGCCCTCTCACTATTGGCTGGCTACTGAAGCATATGGACACCAGCCAAAGTGAAACAAAACGTTGCTTTAAAACAAGTTATGTATTCATAATGTCCAATCATTGTTTTGTAATCTCTGCTCTCTCTGTGGTTATGTCTTCCTATTAATTTCTGATATTAATTTTGTGATTTTCCTTTTTTCTTGATAAATCTCACTAATGACTTATGTACTAGATTTTTCTTGAAAACAACTGTTGGCTCTGATCCACAGCTGAATCATCATCCATGGCTGGGACATCCGGGGCATCATCCACAGATGGGCATCTTCCACAGCTGGGGCATCATCCATGCCTGGGGCATCATCTACTGCTGGGGTATCCACGCCTGGGGCATCATCCACTCCTGGGGCATTATCCACTGCTGTGGCATCCACAGATGGGCATCATCCACACCTGGAGCATCATCCACTGCTGTGGCATCCACAGCTGGTGCATCATCCACTGCTGTGGCATCATCCACAGATGGGCATCATCCACTGCTGGGGCATCATCCACTGCTGCAGCATCATCCATACCTGGGGCATCATCCTCGCCTGGGGCATCATCCACGCCTGGAGCATCGTCCGCTGCTGGGACATTATCCATGCCTGGGGCATCATCCACTGCTGTGGCATCATCCACAGATGGGCATCATCCACTCCTGGGGCATCATCCACTGCTGTGGCATCATCCACAGATGGGCATCATCCACAGATGGGCATCATCCACACCTGCAGCATCATCCACTGCTGTGGCATTATCCACAGCTGGGGCATCCACTGCTGGGGCATCATCCACTCCTGGGGCATCATCCACTCCTGGGGCATCATCCACTGCTGTGGCATCATCCACAGCTGGGGCATCACCCACGCCTGGGGCATTCACTGCTGGGGCATCATCCATGCCTGGGGCATCATCCATTGCTGTGGCATCATCCACCCCTGGGACATCATCCACTGCTGGGGCATCACCCACTTCTGGGGCATTATCCACTGCTGGGACATCATGCCTGGGGCATCCACTGCTGGGGCATCCACTGCTGCAGCATCATCCACAGATGGGCATCATCCATGATTGGAGCATCATCCACTGCTGGGGCATCATCCATGCCTGGGGCATCATCCACTGCTGTGGCATCCACAGATGGGCATCATCCACTACTGGGGCATCATTCACTGCTGTGGCATCATCCACAGATGGGCATCATCCATGCCTGGAGCATCATCCACTGCTGGGACATCATCCACACCTGGGGCATCCACTGCTGGGACATCATCCATGCCTGGGGCATCATCCACTGCTGTGGCATCATCCACAGATGGTCATCATCCACTGCTGTGGCATCATCCACACCTGGAGTGTCATCCACTGCTGTGGGATCATCCACAGCTGGGGCATCATTTACTGCTGGGGCATCATCCACTGCTGTGGCATCATCCACAGATGGTCATCATCCACTGCTGTGGCATCCACAGATGGGCATCATCCACACCTGGAGCATCATCCACTGCTGCGGCATCATCCATACCTGGGGCATCATCCACTGATGGGGCATCACCCACTGCTGGGGCATCATTCACTGCTGGGACATCATCCACGCCTGGGGCATCATCCATGCCTGGGGCATTATCCACTGCTGTGCCATCATCCACAGATGGGCATCGTCCACTACTGGGGCATCATTTACTGTTGTGGTATCATCCACAGATGGGCATCATCCATGCCTGGAGCATCATCCACAGATGGGCATCATCCATGCCTGGAGCATCATCCACTGCTGGGACATCATCCACGCCTGGGGCATCCACTGCTGGGTCATCATCCATGCCTGGGGCATCATCCATTGCTGTGGCATTCACAGATGGGCCTCATCCACTCCTGGGGCATCATCCACTGCTGTGGTATCATCCACAGATGGGCATCATCCATGCCTGGAGCATCATCCACAGATGGGCATCATCCATGCCTGGAGCATCATCCACAGATGGGCATCATCCATGCCTGGAGCATCATCCACTGCTGGGACATCATCCACGCCTGGGGCATCCACTGCTGGGTCATCATCCATGCCTGGGGCATCATCCATTGCTGTGGCATTCACAGATGGGCCTCATCCACTCCTGGGGCATCATCCACTGCTGTGGTATCATCCACAGATGGGCATCATCCATGCCTGGAGCATCATCTACTGCTGGGACATCATCCACTGCTGGGACATCATCCACGCCTGGGGCATCCACTGCTGGGGCATCATCCACTGCTGTGGCATCATCGACAGATGGGCATCATCCATGCCTGGGGCATCATCCACTGCTGGGACATCATCCACAGATGGGCATCATCCATGCCTGGAGCATCATCCACTGCTGGGATGTCATCCACTGCTGGGACATCATCCATGCCTGGGGCAGCAATCTACTGCTGGGACATCCTCCATGCCTGGGGCATCATCCACTGCTGCGGCATCATCGACAGATGGGCATCATCCATGCCTGGAGCATTATCCACTGCTGGAGCATTATCCACTGCTGGGACATCATCCATGCCTGGGGCATCATCCACTGCTGTGCCATCATCCACAGATGGGCATCCACTACTGGGGCATCATTTACTGCAGTGGCATCATCCACAGATGGGCATCATCCACGCCTGGAGCATCCACTGCTGCGGCATCATCCACTGCTGGGACACCATCCACGCCTGGGGCATCCACTGCTGGGACATCATCCACGCCTGGGGCATCATCTGCTGTGGCATCATCCACAGATGGGCATCATCCACGCCTGGAGCATCCACTGCTGTGGCATCATCCACTGCTGGGACATCATCCATGCCTGGGGCATCCACTGCTGGGACATCATCCATGCCTGGGGCATCATCCACTGCTGTGGCATCATCCACAGATGGGCATCATCCACGCCTGGGACATCATCCACTGCTGTGGCATCATCCACAGCTGGGGCATCATTCACTTGGGCATCATCCACTGCTGTGGCGTCATCCATACCTGGGGCATCATCCACTGCTGGGGCGTCATCCATACCTGGGGCATCATCCACTGCTGGGGCATCTTCCACTGTTGCGGCATCATCCACAGCTGGGGCATCATCCACTGCTGGGACACCATCCACGCCTGGGGCATCCACTGCTGGGACACCATCCACGCCTGGGGCATCCACTGCTGGGGCATCATCCATGACTGGGGCATCATTCATTGTTGTGGCATCATCCACCCTTGGGACATCATCCACTGCTGGGGCATCATCCATGCCTGGGGCATCATCCACTGCTGGGACAGCATCCACGCCTGGGGCATCCACTGCTGGGCCATCATCCACTGCTGCGGCATCATGCACAGATGGGCATCATCCACACCTGGAGCATCATCCACTGCTGCAGCATCGTCCACAGATGGGCATCATCCATGCCTGGGGCATCCACAGATGGGGCATCTTCCATGCCTGGGGCATCATCCATGCCTGGAGCATCATCCATTGCTGCATCACTGCTGGGGCATCATCCATGCCTGGGGAATCATTCACTGCTGTGGCATCATCCATGCCTGGGGAATCATCCACTGCTGGGGCATCATCCACACCTGGGCATCCACTGCTGGGGCATCTTCCACACCTGGGGCATCATCCACACCTGGGGTATCCATTTCTGTGGCATCTTTCACGCCTGGGACATCATCCACCGCTGGGGCATCACCCACTGCTGGGGCATCATCCTCTCCTGGGGCATCCACAGCTGGGGCATCATCCACGCCTGGAGCATCATCCACTGCTGTGGCATCACTGCTGGGGCATCATCCACGCCTGGGGCATCATCCACTGCTGTGGCATCATCCATAGCTGGGGCATCATCCATGCCTCTGGTAGCTCTGCAGGAAGGTTGCCCACCTCATCCTTGCTTTCTCCAGGTTCCAGAGGCTCCCATTTAAAGAGCATCTCTCCCCACTCTGCCTCACCCAACACCAGCTCTCCTGTACCTACCGGGTTTCTAAATGCTTTCTTCCACCTTCACCTCATTGGATTCACGACTCTGGAAAATAGTAAAAAATTATAAAAAGGTGGGAGTGGTGGTGATCTGGAAATCCCTGCTATAATATTTTTAAAGGAATCTACTGGAAACTATTTATGTTTTAAATAAAGCCATCCCTTACTTAGCACTAGAATATCAAGCCATTCATGTTTTTAACAAACTTTGAGATATAATTCAAATGTTTTTTATATGAACATATGTGTGTATGTGTATATATACAACTATGTACATATGTGTGTATGTATGTATACACAGTTGTATATATATGCAGATACACGTGTATACAGTTACGTATATAGTTGTATATATATATATACACATATGTATATATGTATAGTTGTTATAGGACACAAAAATACTGATCTTGAGAAAAAAGCATTGGTCTACATTAAATATTGAAAATATCTGGCATAACAAAAGTCCCCTTTAAGAACATGACTTACAAAGCGCAGAGTGACAGAAAATACTCACAGCGTGTACATGTGAATAATGTGTCGTATTGGCCTTGGCTGTCAACGTTGTCAGTGTTGCTGCTGTCCTCAGTGCAGACAGCTGTGGCGTTTGTTCAGAACCTTCAGATGCTGAGGGTGGCTGAGTCGGCCCTGCCTGGGCCACAGACCCTAAATTGGACAGAAGGGAGGGACTGTGGTTCAGAATCAGCATAGTGAGGAGGGCGGGTGTGTGGAGAAGAGCTGAGTATGGATCCCTGTCCCCAGGTAAGATGCCCCCTCTTCTGTGCAGTGAGTGAGGAGGGTAAAGACAGGAGCCCTGGGTATGGTTCAGATGTGATTCTGCTTCGTGACACTGCTGTGGAGCCTGAGCTTTCCAAAGCCACCTTACATCTTCCAAAACCTTCACGGGAGCAGAGCCACTGCATTTAAATAAGAGCTGTGACCCACCTGTTCTGGGCCCCTCTGCCCTGAGTTCTCACAGCTGACCTGGTGGGGTGAAGGTGTGCCCTAGCAGGTCAGTGTTGCCACCCAAATCTACCCAGTGGGCTCCCTGATGACCAAACTCCCATGGAGGCTCTGAGTCATTTTCCAGCTGGGAGAGGCCATGTCTGGAGTGTCCTTCACTGTCCCACACTGCCCTCAGACCCCAAAGCCTTTCTGCCTCTGACACACCAGGGCATCTCAGGTGGAGAGCCTTGGCTGTCCTGATCCTCCTTCTAAAGCTGCTCACGATGTCAGAGAGGGGCCAGGGCAGCTGGGAATCCTAAATAAAGGGGACATGGGTTGAAGGGAGATCACCTGTTCCTGCCAGCTGTGCCAGCAGAGCATGGGTGGCACTTTCTATCTGTCGGTGTTTCCTGGGACCTAGAATCAGAATTTACTCACACTATTAACACTCTCATCAGCCACCTAAAGGCCTCTCTTTCATATTTTGCCTTATCACCATTTCAACTCATGTTTTCCTCCATCTCTGAGTCACCAACTCAAGTGTAAATCATGTGGTTCCACTTCGACTTCCAAATCATCTCTACAGATACTTAAAGAATTCATAGTGTGTTTCCATTTCTTAAGCAAATAAGTTTTTCTCTTTAGAACTCATCTGGTTTATTTTTTATTTTTCTGAGATTTAAACTCAGACTTATTTAGTTTCATCCATGCGTGCATATGAACAATTTCTGTTACTTCCAACGGGTCAGCATTGTGTAAACTATATTTTAATTTAAACCCTGCGCTGAGCAGCCAGGTTGCTGCCAATACCACATGTCCAGTGAGGACTTCCTTCTGCGCATTTCACTCCATCTCTGAACTACAGTGGGCTAGCTGCATGGAGGGTGCACACTTATGTTACTATGTGCTGAGGGACATCCTGCCGGATGGCTGACCTTATAAATAGACCAGTTGTGAGTAAGAGCTTCTGAAGCTCCACAGCCTGACTGGAAGTTTGTTTTATTTTTATTTTTTAAATTGCAACAGTTATCTGCTCAACACTCACTGGTTTCATGCCTCACTCAGAAGTTGCTGCACAATTCTAGGGCATCCACAGGAACCTATAGGTTTTGCCTGCCCCTGACCCTGGCTGGCTGATCTCCCAAGCCCTCTTTCTGGCTTCCTGCTGAGGGGGTTCTGGCAGCTCCTGTCACTCCCATTTTGCTCCCCCCAAACCCTTTTGCTTTGCTCTCTGCTGTTGCAGGCAGCTCCTCCCACACAGACATGCTGGAGGGGTTTTTTTCACCTCGGGTGGATCAGAACGTGTTCATGTGACTTTTATTCATCCACATTTTGCCTTCTCTAAATTGCTTTGTTGTGATATTTGTCCAAAATGGAAATGACATTTCCATTTTATCTGTCTTTTCTATTTTTTTTCTGAAATCTAGATTGTCCTGGCTAATATCTTTCCATTGTTCCATATCCCTCTGCAATTTTGCCTGTTGGATCCTTCTAACAAAGCACCTTAAATAGCCATTCAGGAACTCATAAGGTTATGTGACTTATCAGAATCCTAGAAACCTCAGCAAGTTCAGCACATGAAAATACACTCAATCTCAAGTCATTAGCAGAGTACACATTGGAATTAGTTTCTGACTCTTACACCCACCAGAATGGGCACGTTATCAGAGACAAAAATGCAAAGGGTGGTGAGGATGTGGAGGAACTTGAACTGTCATGTTACTCTGGGAACATACTTAGATTCAACCATTTTGATAAACGGCTTTCTAGTGTGTACCACAGTCATCAGCACCTGTGACCCTACAGTCCCACTCCTCCACCTATGTTCAAGAGACATGAGCCAAGGATGTTGTTGTCCACCTGGGGGACTTTGCAGAAGCCTTGTTTCAAGCAACCATCATGAGCAACAGCAGAGTGAATGTAAAAAACACGGAGTTGTAAGCTAGTTGTGCCAACTTTCTACAGTGCTATATACTGACCCAGCAGTACAAAATGACAAATGTTTCATCACATGGAACATGGGTGAAATTCACATATTCACATATAATTTTCAACCAGAAACAAAAGAGTACATGCTGTAGGTTTGCATTCTTATGATGTTTAAAAATAAATTTAAAATATATTCATCATGATCAGAGTAGGTATCTCCTGGGGTTACTGCCTGGAAATTAGCTGAGGAGGGACTGCCAGGAGATTTACATCTGGGTGGTGTAACACAGTGTTTGTAAGAAGGCAGCAGTCTGCCTGTGTCATATGTGTGCACTGTGCCACAGGTAAAACAATTATCACCTAAAAACTAATGCAAATTATATCTTTCCATCGTGCAAACGTCCATTTTTATTGTCTCCATGGGAGTCTATATTTTAAATAGAAGTAATTTCAATTTTGTATATACAAGAACACACACTGCTCTCTTTTAACTGGGAAAATCATGACAGCAAATTCTGTAAAAGACATGACAAGAAAGATGAATTAAAAGTCAAACTCTTTTGAATACTGTTGCCAAAATCCAACACAATATGTTAGCAATCTTGATTCCGAGGTTTGTCTTTTTAATTTTCCCTTGAGTTTGGGATCCATGTGCAGAATGTGCAGGTTAGTTACACAGGTATACATGTGCCATGGTGGTTTGCTGCACCTATTAACCTGTCATCTAGATTTTAAGCCCAACATGCATTAAGTATTTGTCCTAATGCTCTCTCTCCCCTTGCCCCCTACCCCTGACAGGCCCCAGTGTGTGATGTTCCGCTCCCTTTGTCCAGGTGTTTTTACTGTTCAACTCCCAGTTATGAGTGAGAACATGTGGTGTTTGGTTTTCTGTTCCTGTGTTAGTCTGTTGAGGATGATGGCTTCCAGCTTTATCTATGTCCCCGCAAAGGACAAGAACTCACTCTTTTTTATGGATGAACAGTATTCCATGGTGTATGTGTGCCACATTTTGGTTTTGTAAAGGAAAGGCTGGGGTTTTGATATGGATATAAATGTGGTGGGATGAGGACAGGATCCCTACTGTTTAGGGTGCTGCTGGGGAGAGTAGTGAGAAGAGACAGAGCCCTCAGGTTAGAGGAATGGACATTTGGTTAGAAATAGGACCTGGGTGGTCCTCAGGAACAGCCCTGGGGTGGGGTCTCCAGGCTGTAGCTGTGGAGGGTTTCCTCTAAGAGGAGAAGGGACTCTGTGCATTGTCCCTGCAGGGCTTGGGATGAAATAGGAATCTGAAGATGCTGACCTTTGGTTTGGAAGAAATGAACAGGAAGAAATGTCCACTCTGTGCTGGTGCAGCCACTGCTCATCCTCAGCCAGGCCTTAGCCCAGCTGCACAGACAGTGGCTCAGACAAATAGTAAGTCAGGTGGGAAGCTTTATAAACAGTTCATCAAGCCACTGACACTCCAGCCCAGGTGCCCCTTATCAGATAAGGGCATTAGCTGCTCACCCAGAGTTGGTCAAGTGGAGGGAAGTGAAGCGGTCATGTGACAGTTTAGAATGTTGCTTTCTAATACAGTTGGGGGTCAGTTGGCTGCAGGGTTCCAATGCAGTTGATCATTGGAAATGTGTAGCTGTGGCAGCTGACTGTGATGCTGCTATGAAAGTATTGCCCTGTTTTGAATCACCCTTGTCTTTCCAAGGGGCTTCATTTGAGATAAACCACATCCTGTTTGGAGTCTGGGATGGAAAGGAAGAGACAGAGGCCGGGTCTTGTGTCCAAGCTCTTATCTGGGCTCAGGGATCTATTCCAGGACATCAGCCCTCCCACAGATACCTTGGGTCAGGACATCTTGAGAGTCAGGGGAGTTCATGTTTTGGGGGGGTCTAGGGCACAATCTGGAGGTCTGGAGTGTGAAGACATCTCTGACCCCAAGGCCTCAGGTACGTTTCTGCCCCAGGTGCATCACACAGCAGTGTGGTGACTGGAAAGTCACATGCCTTTAAGAGAATTTCTTCCAACTTTAAAGTGCAGGCCACAGCTCCTGCTATGCCCACCCTCAGGGCTGACATGGGCATCACAGGAGATGATCGCATGTACTGTCCATGCACTGTAAAGCCTTCCACACAGGCAAATGAAGAAAAGCCAACCTTCACCCTCCCCTGCCCTGGAGCATTCATGTCCCCTCTCTGGTCACCTACTGTCAAGTGTGTAGCTTCTTCTCCCAGGCATTTAATGATGGAGGAATCATGGAGCACTGAAGCATCAGCCACTTTTTCTAAAGCTTTAACTCTGTTCAATGATCTTCGGCCTCATCATGCTAACCAGTCAGCCCTATTAAAGTGTTTAGACAGCAGTGCAGAGAACTGGAGGCTGAGGGGTTGCAGAATGTTCCCCAGTTCTCATGGCTCTAAGTGGGATTGAGCCCAGGCCCTCAGGCCCCAACCCCCATGCTCAGTCACTCTGCTCAGCTGCCTTTCTGGACCATCTCATCATAAAGGCACTTTCCACACAACCTTTCCCTTAGGTGTTTCAAGTGCACGTGAGAACCCAAGATCGTCCAAAAGCCCAGGTTTGGCTCAGAGGCTGTGCTGGGGAGTCAGTGCAGTGGGATCCACCATTTGAGCTCTGCATCAATTATGGTCTGTTTTCTCTGGTCTTCTGCCAACAAATTGTCAGTAGTTCTCTTTACTGTGAGTGCATTTTCCAGGTTCTTAGCTAATGAATTTGAGGAGAAATCTATATACAGCCTAGACCAGCAGCAAGTCAAAAAAGGGCCCCCGACCAAGCACAGGTGCACCTGCAGATGGTAAGCTGATGGCATTGTGGATACCCAGCCTTATGTTGATTCAAGAATAATGATTGCATTTGTTCCAAAGTTGCATATTTAAAATAAATCAATAAAAATGCTAAACCATATTGTTATTCATGTGAGAAAACTTTAATTTAGTATTCAATCAGTAATGTTTCAACCACATAAAGATACATTTACAGCTCAGCTTTGGTTCACATTTAATAGCAAAACACATCTGAAGCTCCTGTTTAGACATTAACTGATTGTTAAACATTTGCTGCAATAGGTCTGCCCTTAAAATAGTGTTGCCAAATGACTCTTTAATTAGTAGACACTATTATTTGGATAAGTTTTACATTAGCAAAAAAATAGAGCAGATACTGAAGTTATCACTTGCCCCTTTCCTCCATTTCCCCTGTAATTGACATGTCAGTATGGTGCATTTGTTATGGTTAATAAACCAATATTTACACATTATTAACTAAATGTCTTTGTCAGCATTATGGATTACTCTTTCTATTGTGAACTTTCAAGGTTTTTTTTTTTTAATTTGCAATGTCTTGCTCCACCTTGCATGCACTCATCATTCTGTTGCTGACAATCCCCTGTGCTTCAACTGTTAGTCCTTCTGTCTTTTTCTCGGAAACAGCTAATTTTTTGTTTTAGACCAATCTCACTCTGTTACCTGGACTGGAGTGCAGTGGCATGCTGTCAGCTCACTGCAACCTCCACCTCCCAGGTTCAAGTGATTCTCGTGCCTCAGCATCTCAAGTGGGATTACAGGTGCCCATGACCATACCTGGCTAAGTTTTACATTTTTAGTAGAGACAGGGTTTCCCCGTGTTAGCCAAGCTGGTTTCTAATTCCTGACCTTGAGTGATGTGCCCACCTCAGCCTCCCAAAGTGCTGGGATTACAGGCATGAGCCACTGCACCCAGCAGGAAACAGCTGATTTTTAAAAATTGTCTCTAGAGTTTGCCTTTTTACAAAATGACACCTAGTTTGAATCACAGATTATGTAGCTTCTTCAACAGACAATCCCAGCCTCCAGAATGGTGAGAAAGAAAAAACTGTGTTTATACCACCCAGCCCATGGTATTTGGCTTACCTTTTCTTTTCTGGGGACAGGGTCTCACTGTGTTGCCAAGGCTGTAGTGCAGTAATGCGATCTGAACTCATTGTAGCCTTGACATTCTGGGCTCAAGTGATCCTCCCATCTCACCTGGGACCACAGGCACCCACCACCATGCTGGGCTAATTTTCTTTATGTTTTTGTGGAGATGGGGGTCTCACTATGTTGCCTAGGCAGGTTTTGATCTCCTAGCCTCAAGCAATGTTGGAATTCACTCAGGGTGGCTGGCAAAATATTAAGGGAAATATCAGGGAAAGTTATAAGATATAGTCTCAAATGTTTTGGAAGATGAAAAGATTTTTATAACTTCTAATAATGAAACAGGCTGAAGGCAGCTGGTTCTTACCTTACAGTATTAGGTTATGGGAAAAAATTAGGGATAATAGAAGCTTCCCCAGTTAAGTCTGTTTACCTCACATTCCTTTGTCTCTACTCTAACTCCCTTGTTTACTTGTGGTCTTAAAACTAACCTTTGAGCTGGGTGGCCCTATTGGGGGAGGTCAAAGGGAGATTACTCCTTAATGATGTTAGCTCTGGGCCCTGGAACCAAATCTTTAACCGTGTTAATTATTCACAAGCATGTTGAATTAGAGTTTCTGTCATTAAATCTAAACTGAATAAATGTGAGGAGGGACAGCTATTGAAGGGTTGGGTAGCTGCAGTGGCCCTCTGAGAGCAGCTGACTGATTCACTGTACTTTGTGTGTGGAGGGTATTTATTCATCTGCCACAGAGTCAGGATTTGCGGGACAGGCCCCCGCAGGTGGTGATCAACCTCTCAAAGCAATCCACCTGCCTTAGACTCCCAAGGTGCTGGGGTAAGAGGCAGGAGCCTCAGCACCCAGGCAGCCTTGTTCTAGCAGCCTGCACTGACCCTGCCTGACTTTTCCAGAAGACACTGGTTGGAGAGGGCCGTCAGGAGGGGCAGCATCAGGCTTTAAGCTGTGTGAAAGGGAAAGTTTTGCTCAGCAGCAAATTCTCTCCAGATTAAGAGTTTTGTAATTGGCAGCCACCGTGAACTAGAGAGACACATCCTTCAGGGAAAGCCTGCACCTCCCGCAAGGTGTCTGTGCTGGCTTCTGGGGCCTTTGACCACTGCCTTCCATCTGGGGGATTCTGTGTTCACAGTGGAAGCAAAAGACCTGAGAAACACCATGCAGCGTGACTTGGTCCTCATGGTCCCTTCTCTCCTGTAATTGTAGGTGGCCTCAGGAAAATAGCCTGTATTCTGGAATCACTGACTCACTGATAAAAAAATCCAGATGAAAAGCAAGGCAGGATTTTTCTGCTGGCTTCAATCTGATTCTAGCTTCCCACCGGGCACAAGACGGGTGGTGTAAGGACTGATTTTTGCAGGCAAAGAACCCTGGCATCATTGTACAGTCCCTGGAGCAACCATATCCCTCTAGGTCTGTGTGCATGAGACTCTGGAGGGGTCTTCGTGGGTGTCATGCGGTGTGACTGAATGTGTGTGGGAGTGTGTGGGTGGAAGTGTGTCTCCTCATGAGAGGTGTTCCACCTACACAGCACAGGTGCTACATCAACAGTCTCTAGGGGAACCCCACTGCCACTGTGTGCTTCCCATGTGTTGACATGTTCATGGCTCACCACAGCCTTGCCCAGGGGCTCTCTTTCCAGTCCCATGCCTCAGAAAATGAGGCACAGAGAATGATCCACACTCCTGAGCTTCTCTGTGAAAGAGATGCAGGGTGAGTGAGGGGTGGGGCCCCATGTGGAAGCTCAGGACCACTGGGTGGCATTCCTCACTCAGTAGCAGACTCATGGGTCACAGGGCAGGGGAGATACAGCCCCATGCATATGCCTGGAAGTACCTGGGTGTGTGGAGTTCCAAGACACCACCCATGGTTAAAAGGCAGCCCCTGTGCTGACATAGCCCAGGACATCTTTGCATATATCATAGATTTTCACCCAGCTATTAGCCTAAAAAGTCCAAGTCATGGAAACAGAGTAGAAGGGTGGTGTCTGAGGATGAAGAAAATGGAGAGCTGGTGAAAGGGCACAAACTTTCAGTTATGCGATGAGTACATTCTAGAGACCTGGCACACAGCATGGCAACCATTGTTTATAGTGATGAATTGCACACTCGGAATCTGGTGAGAAAGAGAACCTGGAATATTGTCACCACACATGCAAATGGCAACAATCTGAAGGGATGGGAATGTTTATGAGCTTGATGGTGGTCATCATTTCACATTGTTTGCATATATCAAACCTTCACATGTTATACCTTATATATACATATTTTAAAATTGTTCAACTTTGTCTCAATAAAGCCAGGAAAATATCCTCAGAAATATTCAAAGTCTGTGAGCTACACATCCTGGAAGTGATGAATTAGAACCGGCAGGACCCCTGCTGATCAATGAGCCCCATTAGCCTGGCTGAAGTGCCCCAGGACAGCAGAGTTAGAGCAACAGCGCCAGGCCCACACCTCCCCCTGTAAGGAGCCACCCTTCTGGCCTATGTGAGCAGGTCTAGGGAGATGTCAAGAAGATACTGGCAATTTAGTGGCAGTTCAACATGGCAGGAGAGGTCAAAGGACTTTCTTGTTGCATTA